AGAGAGAGAGAGAGAGAGAGAGAGAGAGAGAGAGAGAGAGAGAGAGAGAGAGAGAGAGAGAGAGAGAGAGAGAGCTGATCTGCTTAAAAGATCAAAGTTTTTCAATTGTTAATATGCTGGGGATGGGGATGCAGGAGGGGAAAAAAAGATTTTTTTATTCAGTATAAATTCATTTCCCCTAAATTTCTCCATGCAGTCCATTTTGTTTTGCTTTATGTAATAAATCTAGCAGACAGTTCCTATTGATTTCACTGAGTTCCACATAACAACTCTCTCTTTGATCTTTCCATGAAGCATCTTCTTACTTTAGCACCAAGTTCTGCCTCAAATGTGCAACACTTTCAACTAAGTGTGAACTAAAAAGGACAAGTAACCACTAGCATCAAATGTTTATTTTCCTTTCAGTTCTGAAAGGGGTTAGTGTCTGCCAACAAAAATAAGCAAGGGCAGCCTGCCATATAGTTCTTATCCATACTGTATGCACATTAACTTCTGATCCTCAACAAGCTTCCTTGTAAAGTCCTCAAGGAAACTTCCTTCCCAGTTTAGGATAGCCAAGAGCACCACCAGTTTGAGACTCATCTAAGGCACAGCTTTACAATTACTTTATGCAGTGATTTTTAAAATTTGTTTGCCACCCTTTCTAAATAGCCTTTGTGTCACAAACTATTTGATTCAGCAACCTTAAAGTTCCTCTGAGAATTATGACAGCTATTATGTTATTATCCATTAGAGCCATTCATCTAGTGTAACCTCCAGGCCAAAGGATGTAGCACAACACCTTTTTGACAAAACATAATTAAAAAAAATGTATACCATTTTATTCTTCAGCATGTTTAGTGTGAGACACACTTGCAAAGCCCTTAGAAACAGCTTTTTACCTCCAACCTGAACTGTGCCAAGGACTTTTTTTTTGTCCCCAAACAATTCTTTGCCACTTTTATATATAGTCTAATAATTTATTGATGACTCAGAAGAGGCTTCTAAAACAATTGATTCTGGACAACTTATTTTTTAATCTCTGATAGAGGACTGGAAAGTTTTTTTTTAAAAAAAACATAACAATTGGATATTATTTAGAACCGGAGTTAATTTGGAACTCTACATTGTAACTTTCACTCACCTATCAGATTATCTGTCCAAATTAAGATAATAACATTACTGAAGTCCTCAGATATTTTAAAATATAGTCAAAATGGTAAATTAACATAGATTCAATACAAAGTATGCTATAAGGCCACGAAACCTAATGAAACAATCTGTTTTAGTTTGTTGCAGGCAAACTGGGTTGTTATAATGTTCAGTAAATTATGGAAGTTTATATTTTTAACTTATACAATAACAGATTTTTATGGATTAGATATTGACACCTGCATATAAAATGCAAATATTTTGTAAATAGATGCAAAACATCTGCCACCTTTAAACAAACATGGAGAAATCCATTTTTAGGCTTAATATCTGGATGTTATTCTAGCTAAGCTGCACCCTGTGTTAATTAAGCATTTTGGAAAAGGATATTAAACAGCTGATCATATTGTAAGCAATATATTCTTTTACTTATACACTGCTTAAACAATACAGAAGGCGTCTGATAGCACCTTTCCTGACTAACAATTATTATTAAAAGGCGTTTTCATGAGCTGCAGCTTACCTCAACAGATGTATTATGCCTTTTAACAAAATTTATTGGTCACAAAAGATGCTGACTCCTCCTGATTTTGGCTATCATAAGCTAACCATGTTCTGCTCCTACAATATCTCAAATAATATAGTAACTCACATGAAAACTTCCGCTGAACTCAAACTTTCTGGAGCAGCAGCATTTTTTAAGTAAGCTAGAAGAGTGGGGGGGGGAATAATGCTGATCTTCACCCTGAAAACCCCAGAAATTCCTGTACTTACTCTTGGCCCACTTGTCTTTCTCACCCAAAAAGCCTTACTTAAACTAGGCATTTTGACTCACGTATTCCAACTATGATTTAAAAAACAGGAAAGACAACATGCTTCAATGGCATCACTGGCACCTGGCTGCAGTGTACAGTATGTTCTGAATTTGATAAATGAAAAGAAAGGAATGAAGGGGGGGCAGGGGAAAAAAAACTTTTGAACTCCCCTGTTATAGTACAAAAGTTTCACTGACTTCTTTGTACACGTTTTATATTTTAAGCCTGAAACTTGACAAATCTTCTACTTTCTCTAAATCTTCCACTTTCCTCTTGCTGAAGAAGGAACAGTATGCAAAACTTGGCTACCCACTCACCGTCTTTTTTCCTAGACACCCCCCCCCCCGTTTCTTAAGTTGCCTATCCGGGGGGCCTGTCAATCTAACTTCAGCAGCAAAGCTCGACTGGGAACCTTCCCTCTGTTATTAAGCCTATATACGCTCATTCTTTATACCCAGCCTGAATTTATTCTCCACAAATAAATGTGAAAATAGTGTTAGAGTTCTGTTTCTTTTCAAATAGCAAAAAAAAACTTCCCAAACTTATATCATTCACCAAAGGAAGAAAAAAAAAGAAAGAAATCAAAACACCAAGAGTCCTCCCTCCCTCCAGCGACCCGACCAACACTTGTTTTTCAAGAAGCATTAGCAAGTAACGCCGTTCGTTTTCACTGTCATTTTGTTTATTAACTGCGAATAAAGAAAGAAGACGACGAGTCTGGCAGCACGTCTGGAAATTCTACTCTCTGCCCTGGCATTGGGAAAAGACGGTTTATTTTAACACTACCTTGGCGGCAGCGGCAGCAACAGCAAGGGAAGATCATATTGTAAGCAATATATTTTTATAAGGAAGTCCCCACCCCCCCACCCCCCTCTCCCTGCTTTTAGAATTAAGCCGATCTTAACTTAGGGGCTCCCCACCACTAGCATCTAAAGTAAAACAGCTGGGCCGGTTTGGTTTGCCACCCTCCCGCCTCCCCCAAAAGCAGACGGGGAAGCCTGCTGTTGCATCCAACGGAGAAAACCAAATGAATGGAAGAAAAGAAAACGCTGCACCCTTCAGGTCCTCGCACAAACGGCACAGCAGCAGCAGCAGCGGAGGCGCCGACGAGCAGCGCTCCCGGCATCTCAGCTCACCTACCGTCCTCCTTGTCCAGCACCATCATCTCAGGGTCCCCAGGAAGCCCGGGTGCAGATGCGCCGTCTCCAATCGCCTCCGCTCAGAGGAGGAAAGAGCGGGACCTAGTCTGCGGGAGCGCCTGAAGCAGACACCGGGGCTCTCTCTCTCAGCTGATTGTCCTTTAGCAGCGAGAGCGCTCTAATTATCCGGTTGTCCAGCTTTTAACCTAGATTGCACTCGCTTAGAATTGCCTTCCCGAAATGAAGCACTTTGCGGATACAAAAGCAGTCTCACCTACTTTTGCACCTCGGAATTGCAAGGAACTAAAACTGCAATTTAGGAGGAGGGGAAAAAAAAAAAAAACAACCAACATCCAGGGAGGGAGATCAGAGCGGTTTCTTTGCTTCTCACCTTCTAAACGGCTCAATTTGCACAGTATAATCTGTTTTAATGTAATTGCGTTTGATAGCCCGTAACCTCGGCTGTTGCAGCCAGCTATACACAGCTTTCAGCCTGACAAAAGTGTTTTTCCCCCCCCCTGAATTTAAGCTGAATCTCAATCTAAAATTACACTCAGAGCGAGGGAGGAGGGGAAAGAAATGTCGGAGCGTAGCTGCTACGGCTGCCTCTGCCTCTCCATTTGTGTGAGCGTTGCACCTTTGCCGCTGAATAAATGCCCTCCTCTCCCAGGGACCCCCCGCTTATTCTTCTGCCAGGTTTTAATGGAGAATTTGAGAGCTTTTCCAGCTCAGCAGCGCCATCTGCAGCTCCGGTTTTGCTATGACTAGAAGGCGCCCCCCCCCCCCCCCAATCAAATAGAGAAATTCTGATTAACTTTTATCTTTTTAGGTCGGCTCTACTTTCATTACATTGGACTTACCAGCAATTTTATTGACTGATTCTTGAACATCGCAGTTCACTGTTAGGAGAAGAGAAACACACAGGCACACAAAGACAGACACAACTGAATGCTTGCACATTTCAATCTGCATTATGCATATTGTTTTATAGACATTTTCCCTCCATCTCTTGACTTTTAAACAGCTGCCAACTTCCACCAAATCATTGCTGACATCAACTTTTCTACACCAGGCAAAGATCCATGTGTGTTTTGAGTCTCATCCTTTTTTTTTTTTGTGGTTGTTGTTAAAGTTGACCAGGCTCAGATTTGTTTAGCATACAAAATAATTTTCTGAACTTTTTTGTTTATATAAAACAGGTATAGGTTACAGAAATTAATTTCACCCAAACAAAACCCCAGTTAACAGCAGGAATGAGAAAATCAGAAGGAAAAGATTTTATTGCCTTAGCTATATAGAGCTGGGTCTTTTACTGTGTGTTTACTGTATAGTCAAAACCTGACTCATTTCTATTTCTTTCACCTTTTCTAAAATATACTCCAGTTCTGATATTTTGACACTGCAGTATATATGAAAAGCATTTTCACACATGCTTGCTTTAATCAAATGCTTGATCTTTGGATGAAGAGATAATAAGGCGGACTGAGATTTAGGATACTTTCTACTCAGAACTTTTGTTCTAGGGGTATCTCTTCTGTAATTGAATTACTCCACCTTTCCAAGCTATGTCAGCTAGTCCTGCAGACGACATCAATGTCTAAAGTGAAATACTTGCTTGCCCACAAAAATTTATAGAGAGTTAGAGATATTTGGGTTTCTATTTCCAAAATTAAGCATTACCCTTACAGAATGAGATAATTAAATACTCAGAACAAGCTTCTGCTGCTTGCTTAATCCAGGAAAACACCTCATCCCAATTTTCAGGATACTTTTTTCTCTATTTTACAACGGATACAAGGGTAGTCTTTCAAAAGCATGATGGCAAGCTCAAGTCAGATACGCTTAATACCTATTTTAATTAGATTCCTTATCCTTAACTCAAATGGCTTTGCCTTCCTCTTTCATTTTTGAACGCTTAATCCTAACAGTCCTTGAACATATTTGATGTCAAATGTATCACTTTGCATAGAGAAAGGTTTCATTCAATACTTAAAAAAACAGGCATTCTCATTTGATCACTACTATTTGCAAAAGGAGAATTATGATATGCAGCGAGGAGGATTTAAATACTGTGATCCCTAAATGATCGTATTTTGAAAGATAGGGTTGAATCATTTTCATCAAAGCTGCTATCATTAATTGTAAACTGGGGCCTTGGACCACCATATTTTAGAGTATCACATCCTCCAAACAAACATTTACGGCAACTGCTTTAGCTGGTTTCAGCCTCTTAGGTTCATTTCAAGAAATCATGAACGCAAACACAATACATCTCTAATACAATGTTAAACTTAAATTGATATCAAATTATAAGAATTTGTTGAAAATAAGATCCCACACACTTCTTTTAGCTGGATAATTTAAAAGATATTTGAGTTTTTAATATTTCATTGAAGCAAACCTTAATGTTTTCTAATGTTTTCTCCCACTAATTTAAAGAGCAGTATAACCATACTGTCCATATATTATTTGTATTTACATTTGGGGATATATGAAACTATCTTCCCCATTAACGCACGATTGCATCAGAAGAGGTTATTCCTGACGTAACATAGAACTGCACAAAACTGCACTTTCAAAAGTTCCATTTATTTTAAAAATGCATGCTTAACTATCTTTATGCACGTAATCAGTGGCACTCAAAAATGTGCTATTTTGATAGAGTAGCAACTCAAATTATTAACCAAAGTGCTTGAGTTAAACCAAGCTTTAACATGGATTGCTACTGTGCTGTTCAGAAGTGAAAAGTGGAACAAGGAGTCAGTCCATTTTTACAAATATAGTCAACGCTCCAACATGAATGAGGTGTTAGGATCCCAACTTTGGATTTGGCTTGAAGTTGGTTTGTCCTTTATGCTAATCAAGAGGAATAACAATTCAAAGTCTACCTGAGTCTCTCTACACTTTCAACTCTTAGGAATTGAACTTTCAAGTCTTATCTATACGTATCATTGGAATTCTAATATTTGTCCTTGTCAAAGTCACCTCTTTTTTGTCAGTTTCCCTTACACTGGATGAATTTGGGCAGAGAAAAAGCAACGCTCCCTCACTGGTGTAGCTCAACACTGTTGCTGAACATGTCAAATTAGAAATGTTAAATTTCTCTCTGCTTCATTTTTCATATAGTTACAACAATTCTTCTGGCCTATCCTGTACCCTTTGGCTTTAATCTGGATGCTAACACATAAACCTTTACTTGAACTAGAAGAAACTTTTGCCAAGACTAAATGGCAAAGTATCCCATGGGTATCACGTTTGCCAGTCACGGTGACCAGATTTTTATTCATTCATTAGATTTATATTCTGCTTTTCTGTAGGCACTCAAGTGAATGTATGTGGGCATTCCCTTCTCCTATTTTTCCCTGCCCTGTGAGTTTAGGCTAAAAGAGAGCTTCTGTGGACTAGAACCTGGGTCTTCCCAATACCGGTCCAACACTTTAACCACTATGCCACACTTTAACCACTATGCCACACCGAGTCTATCTTTCTACAAAGTCAGAAATATAACTGGGCTATGAAAACAAACTTTTCTAGGAAACTAAGATTCTACAAGTATTATTTGTTTGTCTGTCTGTCTGCTTGCTTGTTAATCTATCACATTTGTAAGACTATCCAACTCCATTGGTGATTGCATTATCTCACTGTAGAAAAATATTCAAGATTTCCTAGGACAGATTGTCCAAGAGTACTGTAATCCAATGACCATTTGTGAGGAATGACGTTCATACCAATATCGGCAGAACCAACTTTTATTTCAGAATCATTTGAACCCTTTTCCAGTACTCAAATGCATGGGGCATAAATACTAGATACAGGTAGCCCTCAATCTACAACCATTGGTTCAGCGACTGTTCAAGGTTATGGTGGTGCTGAATGGTCTTCAGAGGTCCAGCACTCCTGCCGTCACAGTTGCAATCTGGGCACTTGGCAACCCATTCATACTTATGACTGGTTGCAGTGCCTCACAATCACATGACTGCCATTTACAGTCTTCTCTGCCAGCTTCCCCAAATGTCAATGGGGGAAAAGTTTCCTCCACCCAGCTACCTATCTACCGGCTTTCTCTGCCTATGCTGCAAGAGTCACTCATTTTCTCCTGCAGACTCTCCCTGTCCCTCGCACTCTCGTGTATCCTTCCCAATCCATGCACCACCCCCCTCACACTCTCATGCACCCAACCCATGCTGAGCCTCTTGTGCATCCCCTCATGCACCCCTCACTCCCTTCCTCACCCAGCAACAGCCACTTACCTGCCGGCCAGCCTTGGATTTACGGTCTTCCTGATGGCTTCCCCACTGACTTTGGTTGTGGGTAGCCAGCAGGAAGTTGCCTCTCCTAATGACCATGGGATTCAGTTAATGACAGTGACAGGGACTGCAGGGATTGCCATTGCTAAGCAATGCAGTCATATTTTACAACTGTATCACTCAGCCCTGGAAATTCTGGTCCCAACTGTCATCATAAATTTAGGACTACCTGTAATCAATGTATCAGGAGGTAGAAGGAAACTCCTAAAAGAACTTTGAGAAAGAAAGAACTTCAATGGCCACAGAATATTGGCTGTCGAAAGGAAACTTAAGTGGGAGAGAGAAGGGAAGATTGTATTAAAGGAAAGCACAAGTAACTGACTGAACTTTAATCAGAGAGACCCAGGATCAAGTCCCCACTTTGCTATGAAGCTCAATGGATGATTTTGGGCTGGTTGCCAGCCTATCAGATGGAATTCCTATTAAGGAGACATGATATCAATGCTGCCTTGAGCTACTAAAGAAAAGGTAGGTAATAGCTGGTGATAATTTGATATTTTGCAACACAATTATTATTTACCAAAATCTCTCCACCGCCCTTTAGACATGTATTTCAACAACCAATAAAATGTTTATATTTCTTATTCTGGAAATACATAGCCACGCCTTTATTTCCAATGTCTCTAATTTAGTAACACCCAGGGCTGGATCAGGCAGAAAGAGTTGAGAGCGAAGAGGAACCAGCATAAAGATAAAAATGGAAAAGTATTATTCTCCCTACCTCTGTCCTTCATTTAAAAAGGTACAAATTCTGTCTACTGGAATAACTTCTTTACAAACAATTCTAAAAAAAAAAAAATCCAACGTACCACTTCAATTTGTTATGGTGATCTCCATATCCTTCTAATCAGGGGTTTATCCCTTAACATTTTTTTCCTTTGTAAAGTGCATCCCATTCTAATTTCCTCTTTTCCTTCACTACTATCACCATTATTTCCTTTTATACAGCCATTCATGAGAGCTCCTGGAATGAGGGCTGTTGAGAACTGTCTGGATAATCAATGTTTCTAGTTTCACTTCCTTAT